GTGTGTGTGTCACTGTGTGTGTGTCACTGTGTGTGTGTCACTGTGTGTGTCACTGTGTGTGTGTCACTGTGTGTGTGTGTCACTGTGTGTGTGTCACTGTGTATGTCACTGTGTGTGTCACTGTGTGTGTGTCACTGTGTGTGTGTCACTGTGTGAGTGTCACTGTGTGTGTGTCACTGTGTGTGTGTCACTGTGTGTGTCACTGTGTGTGTGTCACTGTGTGTGTGTGTCACTGTGTGTGTGTCACTGTGTATGTCACTGTGTGTGTCACTGTGTGTGTGTCACTGTGTGTGTGTCACTGTGTGTGTGTCACTGTGTGTGTGTCACTGTGTGAGTGTCACTGTGTGTGTGTCACTGTGTGTGTGTCACTGTGTGTGTCACTGTGTGTGTGTCACTGTGTGTGTCACTGTGTGTGTGTCACTGTGTGTGTGTCACTGTGTGTGTCACTGTGTGTGTGTCACTGTGTGTGTGTGTCACTGTGTGTGTGTGACTGTGTGTGTCACTGTGTGTGTGTCACTGTGTGTGTGTCACTGTGTGTGTGTCACTGTGTGTGTGTGTCACTGTGTGTGTGTCACTGTGTATGTCACTGTGTGTGTCACTGTGTGTGTGTCACTGTGTGTGTGTCACTGTGTGTGTGTCACTGTGTGTGTGTCACTGTGTGTGTGTCACTGTGTGTGTGTCACTGTGTGTGTCACTGTGTGTGTGTCACTGTGTGTGTGTCACTGTGTGTGTGTCACTGTGTATGTCACTGTGTGTGTCACTGTGTGTGTCACTGTGTGTGTGTCACTGTGTGAGTGTCACTGTGTGTGTGTCACTGTGTGTGTGTCACTGTGTGTGTCACTGTGTGTGTGTCACTGTGTGTGTGTGTCACTGTGTGTGTGTCACTGTGTGTGTGTCACTGTGTGTGTCACTGTGTGTGTGTCACTATGTGTGTCACTGTGTGTGTGTCACTGTGTGTGTGTCACTGTGTGTGTCACTGTGTGTGTCACACTGTGTGTGTGTGTGTCACTGTGCGTGTCACTGTGTGTGTCACTGTGTGTGTGTCACTGTGTGTGTGTCACTGTGTGTGTCACTGTGTGTGTGTCACTGTGTGTGTCACTGTGTGTGTCACTGTGTGTGTGTGTGTCACTGTGTCCGGCAAAACAACCCCCTACCTCCTCGCGGTGCCGGACGGGCAACTCTGTCGTGGACAGTGCTGTGGGGGGAGTTCCAATTTTGATTGGCTCCTCCCCTCATGGCGTCTGTGTCCACCACAGGGGCTAAACGGGGGCTCTGGACGGGTGCGAGGGGCTGGTAACCCCTCCACCTTCAATTAATTACCACAAAACCACGAATTAAAGTGAAATATGTAACAACTAAGCTTGTGCCGGAGGCCCCGGGGGGCCAGGCGTCTATGACGTCTCCTGGCCAAACCCCAATTGGCGGAGCCAGGAGATTGAATACCTACCCTCGGGGCTACTCCAGAAACAACGAAAAGCCACTACGGGTGGCCACGTGGAATGTTCGAACGCTCACTGCAGAGGAGAGGCTGCCACTCCTCTGTCGGGAGCTGGACCGGTACCGCCTGGATCTATGCGGCATTCAGGAGGTCCGGTGGACCGGCTCTGGCTCCTGCCACCATGAGGGGTGGACAGTCCTCTACTCGGGGCAGCAGACTGCCAAACAACAGGGTGTGGGTCTTCTTTTGAACAAAAGAATGAAGGGGGCGTGGGAGCGTGGCGGTGAGGTGTGGGAAGCTGTAAGCCCCAGGCTACTTTGGGCTCGCCTTCCCATCAACCGGAGGCGAGGAATGGTGGTCGTGGTTACTTATGCCCCCACCGAAGATGAACATCCGTGGAGGGATGCAGGCAAAGCCGATGAGTCAGATGCCTTCTATGACCTCCTGTCACAGGTGCTGGCTAAAGTGGCCCCTCGGGATAGAGTCATCATGTTGGGTGACTTCAATGCCCGAGTTGGTCATGATACTGGCACCTGGTCTGGAGTGATTGGAGGGCATGGGCCAGATCAGCTCAATAACAACGGTAGGAGGCTGCTAGATTTTTGTGCATCCCATGGGCTTGTTATTACCAACACGCTGTTCCGGCATCGGCGCATCCACACAACATCATGGATGCATGCCGGGTCCAAGCAAGAACATCTGCTGGACTACATAGTGACGGACCAGCGAATGCGAGCCCATGTCCTTGACACCAGGACCTACCGTGGAGCTGATCTGCCCTCTGACCATCGACTAGTCATCTGTAAGATGCGCCTGCCATTCTTCCACTCCGGTGGTGGGTGTACACCCAGGACCCCATTCCAACCTAAAGTGGCCTGGTCTCAGTTATCTGATGAAAGTTGCAAGCGAGAATTTCATCATCGCTTGCGGCTGGGATTGGCATCGTCCCCGACTCCTCCTGATGTCGAGGGTAAATGGGCGAGGTTTAGGACTGTGACTCATGCAGCTGCAATGGCTGCTTTGGGTACGCGGTCCAGACCTCCCCAGAGACCCTGGCTGACAGAGGAGGTGTTCAGGATGGTTGAGAAAAAGCGACAGGCCCACTGTCATCGGCTACAGAATCCCACGTCAGAGAATGAGGAGGCTTACCGCAGCCTTCGCTCGGAGGTTCGGAGAGCCGTGAGGCGCTGCAAGGATGGGTGGTGGTCGCGGGTTGCTGAGGAGATGGAGTCTGCCTCAGTGGCCCGTGACCACAAATCTCTATTTAACTCCATCAAAAAAGTAACCTGCAGCGCCACACCTATTACCATCATTAGGGGAAAAAACGGTGATCCAATTTCCGACCCCCAGGAACAGGTTCGCAGATTTGCTGAGCATTTCTGTGAGGTCCTGGGGGAGGGAAAATCCCTCAGCCAGGAAAACATCGTGGCACAAAGTGAGGATGACCCTGCTGAGGCTGCGGTGCCTCAAATATTGGATGAAGTCACCCCCTGTGAGTGGCTGGCTGAGGTGCCATCTGCTGAGGAAGTATTGAAGGCGATCCGGAGTCTGAGACCAGGAAAGGCAGCGGGCAGAGATGATCTCCCAAGCGAAATGCTGAGGGAGGGTGGCGTTTGTGCACAGACTGCCCTATATGACATCATAACAACAGTCTGGACCACTGGACGGGTTCCGCAGGATTGGAAGGATGCCCTGGTGGTCCCCCTTTTTAAGAAGGGGGACCGCACAGACTGTAACAACTACAGGGGCATCTCACTCCTCAGTGTGCCGGGAAAGGTCCTGGCAAGGATTATTCAGCATCGCCTTGCCAGGCACGCTGAGGAGAGGCTTGCGGAGCCCCAATGCGGTTTCAGGAAAGGGCGGTCCTGCACAGATGCCATATTTTCTGTCCGTCTCCTACAGCAGAGGTGTAGGGAATTCCAACAAGACCTACATCTCTGCTTTATTGACCTGGTCAAGGCCTATGATACCATCAGTAGGCCTGGGCTCTGGGTCGTTCTTCGTGCTTTTGGAGTACCTGACCCTCTGCTCACGATCATTAAGGACCTTCATGATGGTGAGCGGGCCCGGGTAAAAACTACGTGGCCGGGAGTCAGAGCCATTCCCTGTACACCTTGGGGTGCGACAGGGATGTCCTCTGGCTCCCACATTATTTAACATCTATTTTGACCACGTAGTTCGTGAAGCCTTCAATTGCTGTACCGGGGGAATCTCCATATGGTACAGATATAATGGGAGGCTAATCGATGCCCGGGTGCGGTCAAGGGATGGCTCCCTATTGCTCAACCACGTTATGTATGCTGATGACTTGGTAATAGCTGCTCAGTCAGAGGAGGAGTTGGAGACGCTGCTGCTGAGACTGGAGCGTGCCACTAAGAGGTGGGGCCTTACCATCAGCCCCACCAAAACTAAGCACCTGCCTGGGTGTTTTGTACCATCGGACACTCCACCCCCACAACTCCCAATCGGTGATGGGGCAGTTGTGGAGAGAGTGGAGAGTTTCCCATACCTGGGCAGTGTGCTTATGACTGGCTCCAGTTTAACAGCAGAGGTCTCACTCCGAATCAGTCGAGCGGCAATATCTTTTCATCGGTTGCGTAACGCTGTGTGGAAGCTACCTGGTCTGTCGCTCCGCACTAAGCTTCAGGTCTTCTCGGCCACGGTCATTCCCTCCCTTCTCTACGCTTGCGAAACGTGGACCCCCCTAATGGAACATCTTCGCCGGTTAGAAACATTTAGGCTGACCTGCCTACGATCCATCCTGGGTTTAACCAGACTGGATTGTGTGAGGAGCTCACAAATCCTTGAAAGATCTGGGCAGGGTCCCATCGGTGAGCTCCTCCGGCAGGCAAGGCTGCGATGGCTGGGTCATGTAGCCCGCATGCCCAGCCACCGCATGCCGAAACAGCTTTTGTTTGGCCGGATTGAGGGGGCTAAGCGGGCGCGGCACGGGCTAGAGAAGAGATGGAGTGATGTGGTACAGGAGGACGTGGAGCTGAGTGGACTTGCCGATGACTGGTACCAGCGGTGTCAAGATCGGCCTCTGTGGAGGAGGCTCGTGAAGGATGCTACTGGGCAGTTGGAGGCAGTCGCCCTCCAACAACAACGGAGGGCGGAGGAGCGACGCTCACAACAGCGAGCGGAGCGCCGGGTGGGTAAAGCACAGCAGGTTGGCACAGTAGGGGGCACAGGTGGTGCATCAGCCAGTCATCTCAGTCAGTCGACCCGTGGCACCTGGGTCTGCCCCGTGACCTCCTGCCAGCGAGCGTTCGACACTTCACGTGGCCTCAGGGTGCACATAGCCTGGCACAAGCGTCGTGGTGACGTCACCGCCACTTAGTGGCGAATGGCGGTTGTTGTTGTTGTTGTCACTGTGTGTGTGTGTCACTATGTGTGTGTCACTGTGTGTGTCACTGTGTGTGTCACTGTGTGTGTCACTGTGTGTGTCACTGTGTGTGTCACTGTGTGTGTCACTGTGTGTGTCACTGTGTGTGTCACTGTGTGTGTCACTGTGTGTGTCACTGTGTGTGTCACTGTGTGTGTCACTGTGTGTGTCACGTGCCTGCCTGCGCACGTCACGTGACGTGAAAGTTCCTCCAACGCCTCCAAACGAAGTCCCCACAGCTCCACTCGCCTCCTCCTCCAGCCAGGGTGGAACATCCTGGCCAGCCTGTCACACACACACAGTCACACACACAGTGACGTCACACACAGTGACACACACACACAGTGACACACACAGTGACACACACACAGTGACACACACACAGTGACACACACAGTGACACACACACACAGTGACACACAGTGACACACACACACAGTGACACACAGTGACACACACACAGTGACACACACAGTGACACACACACAGTGACACACACACAGTGACACACACACAGTGACACACACACAGTGACACACACAGTGTACACACACACAGTGACACACACACAGTGACACACACAGTGACACACACAGTGACACACACACACAGTGACACACACACAGTGACACACACACAGTGACACACACACACAGTGACACACACAGTGACACACAGTGACACACACAGTGACACACACAGTGACACACACACAGTGACACTCATGTTTAGTGCCACTTTCCCTACGGAGATACAGAAGTTAGTGACACACACAGTGACACACACAGTGACACAGACACACAGTGACACACACACAGTGACACACACACAGTGACACACACAGTGACACACACAGTGACACACACAGTGACACTCATGTTTAGTGCCACTTTCCCTACGGAGATACAGAAGTTAGTGACACACACAGTGACACACACAGTGACACACACAGTGACACACACACACAGTGACACACACACACAGTGACACACACACAGTGACACACACAGTGACACACACACACAGTGACACACACACAGTGACACACACACACAGTGACACACACACAGTGACACACACACACAGTGACACACACACAGTGACACACACACAGTGACACACACACAGTGACACACACACAGTGACACACACAGTGACACACACACAGTGACACACACACACAGTGACACACACAGTGACACACACACAGTGACACACACACACAGTGACACACACAGTGACACACACAGTGACACACACACACAGTGACACACACACACAGTGACACACACACAGTGACACACACAGTGTACACACACAGTGTACACACACACAGTGACACACACAGTGACACACACAGTGACACACACAGTGACACACACACAGTGACACACACAGTGACACACACACAGTGACACACACACACAGTGACACACAGTGACACACACAGTGACACACACAGTGACACACACACACAGTGACACACACACAGTGACACACACACAGTGACACACACAGTGTACACACACACAGTGACACACACAGTGACACCCACACACAGTGACACACACAGTGACACACACAGTGACACACACACAGTGACACACACAGTGACACACACACACACAGTGACACACAGTGACACACACAGTGACACACACAGTGACACACACAGTGACACACACACACACAGTGACACACACACAGTGACACACACACAGTGACACACACAGTGACACACACACAGTGACACACACACACAGTGACACACACACAGTGACACACACAGTGACACACACACAGTGACACACACACAGTGACACACACAGTGACACACACACAGTGACACACACACAGTGACACTCATGTTTAGTGCCACTTTCCCTACGGAGATACAGAAGTTAGTGACACACACAGTGACACACACAGTGACACACACACACAGTGACACACACACACAGTGACACACACACACAGTGACACACACACAGTGACACACACAGTGACACACACACACAGTGACACACACACACAGTGACACACACACAGTGACACACACACAGTGACACACACACACAGTGACACACACACAGTGACACACACAGTGACACACACACAGTGTACACACACAGTGACACACACACAGTGACACACACAGTGACACACACAGTGACACACACACACAGTGACACACACACACAGTGACACACACACAGTGACACACACACAGTGACACACACACACAGTGTACACACAGTGACACACACACAGTGACACACACACAGTGTACACACACACACAGTGACACACACACACAGTGACACACACAGTGACACACACAGTGACACACACAGTGACACACACAGTGACACACACACACAGTGACACACACACACAGTGACACACACACAGTGACACACACACACAGTGTACACACACACACAGTGTACACACACACACAGTGTACACACACACACAGTGTACACACACACACAGTGTACACACACACACAGTGACACACACACAGTGACACACACACAGTGACACACACACAGTGACACACACAGTGACACACACACAGTGACACACACAGTGACACACACACAGTGACACACACAGTGACACACACAGTGACACACACAGTGACACACACACAGTGACACACACAGTGACACACACACAGTGACACACACAGTGACACACACACACAGCCGGACACACCACAAAGTGTCAGGCCTACACCAGTAGGCACACACAGTGACACACACAGTGACACACACAGTGACACACACAGTGACACACACACACAGTGACACACACACACAGTGACACACACACAGTGACACACACACAGTGACACACACACAGTGACACACACACAGTGACACACACACACACAGTGACACACACACAGTGACACACACACACACAGTGACACACACAGTGACACACACAGTGACACACACACAGTGACACACACAGTGACACACACAGTGACACACACACACAGTGACACACACACAGTGACACACACACACAGTGACACACACAGTGTACACACACACAGTGACACACACACAGTGACACACACACAGTGTACACACACACACACACAGTGTACACACACAGTGTACACACACACACACAGTGTACACACACACACAGTGACACACACAGTGTACACACACACACACAGTGACACACACAGTGACACACACACAGTGACACACACACAGTGACACACACACACACACAGTGACACACACACAGTGACACATACACACAGTGACACACACAGACAGACACACATTGAGACACACAGACACACACACACAGACACACAGTGAGACACACACACAGACACACACATATACATAGACACACAGACACACAGTCACACACAGACACACACACATAGACTCATACACACACAGTCACACACACACACAGACACACTGTCACACACACACATAGACACACAATCACACACGTAGACACATACACACACATAGACACACACACGCATAGACACACACATAGACACACACACATAGACACACACATAGACACTTTCACAGTGTGTCAGTGTGTCTCTGTGCATGTCTCTGTGTGTCTCTGTGCGTGTCTCTGTGCGTGTCTCAGTGTCTCTCCGCGTGTGTCTGTGTCTCCCTGCGTGTCTGTGTGTGTCTCTGTGTGTGTCTCAGTCTCTCTGCGTGTCTGTGTGTGTATCTCTGTCTCTGCATGTCTCTGTGTGTCTGTGTGTCTGTGTCTCTGTGTCTCCGTGTGTGTCTCTGTGTGTGCGTCTCTGCGTGTGTCTGTTTCTCTCTGCGTGTCTCTATGTGTGAGTCTCTGTGTGTCTCTCTCTGTGTGTCTCTGTGTGAGTCTCTGTGTGTGAGTCTCTGCGTGTCTCTGTGTCTCTCTGCGTGTCTCACTGTGTGTCTCTGTGCGAGTCTCTGTGTGTCTCTGTGTGTCTCCGAGTGTCTCTGTGTGTCTCTGTGTGTCTCTGTGTGTCTCTGTGTGTGTCTCTCCGCGTGTCTCTGTGTGTCTCTCCGCGTGTCTCTGAGTGTCTCTGTGTGTCTCTCCGCGTGTCTCTGTGTGTCTCTGTGTGTGTCTCTGTGTGAGTCTCTGTGTGTCTCTCTGTGTGAGTCTCTGTGCGAGTCTCTGCGTGTCTCTCTGTGTGTGTCTCTCTGTGTCTCTGTGTGAGTCTCTGTGTGTCTCTCTGTGTGAGTCTCTGTGCGAGTCTCTGCGTGTCTCTCTGTGTGTCTCTCTGTGTCTCTGTGTGTGTCTCTGTGCGTCTCTCTGTGTCTCTATGCGAGTCTCTGCGTGTCTCTCTGTGTGAGTCTCTCTGTGTCTCTGTGCGAGTCTCTGCGTGTCTCTGTGTGTCTCTGTGTGTCTCTCCGCGTGTCTCTGTGTGTCTCTCTCTGTCTCTGTGTGTCTCTATCTGTGCGTGTCTCTCCCCCGTGTCTCTCCCCCGTGTCTCTCCCCGCGTGTCTCCCCCCGTGCCACCCACGTCGCTGAGCACCCGGACGAGCGGCCGAGCCAAATCGCGGTCGCGGCCGCAGTCGAAGAATCCGACAGCGGATCCACAGTGGCCGATACGTCCCGTGCGGCCGATGCGGTGAACGTAGTCATCCACACAGCCCGGGAGGTCATAGTTCACCACCTGGGGGGGAGGGCGGTACGTCATACACTACACTATACACTACTATACACTATACACTACTACTACACTACACTATTATACACTACACTATTATACACTACACTACTATACACTACTAAACTATACACTACTACACTATACACTACTATACACTACTACTACACTACACTATTATACACTACACTACTATACACTACTAAACTATACACTACTACACTATACACTACTACACTACTATACACTATACTATACACTAATACACTATACACTACTACTACACTATACACTACTACACTATACACTACTACACTGTACACTACTACACTGTACACTACTACACTATACACTACTACACTATACACTACTACACTGTACACTACTACACTGTACACTACTACACTGTACACTACTACACTGTACACTACTACACTGTACACTACTACACTATACACTACTACACTATACACTACTACACTATACACTACTACACTATACACTACTACACTATACACTACTACACTATACACTACTACACTGTACACTACTACACTGTACACTACTACACTGTACACTACTACACTATACACTATACACTACTACACTATACACTACTACACTACACTATACACTACTATACACTACTATACTACTATACACTACTACACTATACACTAGTACACTATACACTACTACACTAAACACTACTACACTAAACACTACTACACTATACACTACTACACTATACACTACTACACTATACACTACTACACTATACACTACTATACTACTATACACTACTACACTATACACTACACACTACTACACTACACACTACTACACTATACACTACTACACTACACTATACACTACTACACTATACACTACTACACTATACATTCCACTATACACTACTACACTATACACTACTACACTATACACTGCTACACTATACACTACTATACACTACTACACTATATACTACTACACTACACTATACACTACTACACTACTATACACTACACTATACACTACTACACTACTATACACTACTACACTATACACTACACACTACTACACTACACTATACACTACTACACTATACACTACACTATACACTACACTATACACTACTACACTACACACTACTACACTACACTATACACTACTACACTATACACTACTACACTATACACTACTACACTATACACTACTACACTACACACTACTACACTATACACTACTACACTATACACTACTACACTATACACTACTACACTATACACTACTATACACTACTACACTATACACTACTACACTATACACTACTATACACTATACACTACTACACTATACACTACTACACTATACACTACTACACTATACACTACTACACTATACACTGCTACACTATACACTACTACACTATATACTACTACACTACACTATACACTACTATACACTACACTATACACTACTACACTACTATACACTACTACACTACTATACACTACTACACTACTATACACTACTACACTACTATACACTACTACACTATACACTACACTATACACTACTACACTATACACTACTACACTATACACTACTACACTATACACTACACTATACACTACTACACTATACACACTACTACACTACACACTACTACACTATACACTACACACTACTACACTATACACTACTACACTATACACTATTACACTATACACTACCACACTATACACTACTACACTATACACTACTACACTATACACTACTACACTATACACTACACTATACACTACTACACTACACACTACTACACTACACACTACTACACTATACACTACACACTACTACACTATACACTACTACACTATACACTACTACACTATACACTACTACACTATACACTACTACACTACACTATACACTACTACACTATACACTACTACATTATACACTGCTACACACTACACTATACACTGCTACACTATACACTACTACACTACTATACACTACTACACTATACACTACTACACTATACACTACACACTACTACACTGTGTCTGTGTGTCTGTCTCTGTGTGTGTGCGTGTCTGCGCAGTGTCTCTGTGTGTATGTCTGTGTGTGTATCTCTGTCTGTGTGTGTATCACTGTGCGTGTCTGTGTGTGTCTCTGTGTCTGTGTGTGTCTCTGTGAGTGTCTCTGTGTGAGTCTGTGTGTCTCTGTGTGTGTCTGTGTGTCTCTGTGAGTGTCTCTGTGAGTGTCTCTGTGTGTGTTTCTGTGTGTGTCTCTGTCTCTGTGTGTGTCTCTGTCTGTGTGTCTGTGTCTCACTCTGTCTCTGTGTCTGTGTCCGTGTGTGTCTGTGTGTCTCTCTGTGTGTCTGTCTCTCACTGTGTCTCTGTGTGTGTGTCTGTGTGTCTCTGTGAGTGTCTCTGTGTGTGTCTCTGTGAGTGTCTCTGTGTGTGTCTCTGTGTGTGTGTCTGTGAGTGTCTCTGTGTCTCTGTGAGTGTCTCTTTGTCTCTGTGAGTGTCTCTGTGTCTCTGTGTGTGTCTCTGTATCTCTGTGTGTGTATCACTGTGTGTCTGTGTGTCTCTGTGAGTGTCTCTGTGTGTGTCTGTGTGTCTCTGTGAGTGTCTCTGTGTCTCTGTGTGTGTGTCTCTGTTTCTGTGTGTGTCTGTGTCTCTGTGTCTCACTGTGTCTGTGTCTCTGTGTGTGTCTCTGTGTGTCTCTCTGTCTCTCTCTGTGTCTGTGTGTCTGTGTGTGTCTCTGTGTGTCTCTCTGTCTGTGTGTCTGTGTGTGTCTGTGTCTCACTGTGTGTCTCTGTGTGTCTCTCTGTGTGTCTGTGTCTCTGTCTGTGTGTCTGTGTGTCTGTGTCTCTGTGTGTGTGTGTCTGTGTGTCTCACTCTCTGAGTCTGTCTGAGTGTCTGTGTGTCTGTGTGCGTACGTGTCTGTGTGTCTGTGTCTCACTCTGTGTCTGTGTGTCTCTGTGTCTGTGTCCGTGTGTGTCTGTGTGTCTCTCTGTGTGTCTGTCTCTCACTGTGTCTCTGTGTGTGTGTCTGTGTCTCTCTGTGTCTGTGTCTCTGTGTGTGTCTCTGTCTGTGTGTCTGTGTCTCTGTGTGTGTGTGTCTGAGTGTGTCTCTCTGTGTGTCTGTCTGAGTGTCTGTGTGTCTGTGTGTCTCTGTCTGTCTCTCTGTGTGTCTCTGTGTCTGTGTGTGTCTGTGTGTCTCTGTCTGTGTGTCTGTGTCTCTGTCTGTGTGTCTGTGTCTCTGTGTGTCTCTGTGTCTCTGTCTGTCTCTCTGTGTGTCTCTGTGTCTGTCTCTCACTGTGTCTCTGTGTGTGTGTCTGTGTCTCTCTGTGTCTCACTCTGTGTCTCTGTGTCCGTGTGTGTCTGTGTGTCTCTCTGTGTGTCTGTCTCTCACTGTGTCTCTGTGTGTGTGTCTGTGTCTCTGTGTGTGTCTGTGTGAGTGTCTCTGTGTGTCTGTGTGTCTCTGTGAGTGTCTCTGTGTGTGTCTGTGTGTCTCTGTGAGTGTCTGTGTCTCTGTGAGTGTCTCTGTGTGTGTCTCAGTGAGTGTCTCTGTGTGTGTCTGTGTGTCTCTGTGAGTGTCTCTGTGTGTCTGTGTGTGTCTGTGTGTCTCTGTGAGTGTCTCTGTGTGTCTCTGTGAATGTCTCTGTGTGTCTGTGAGTGTCTCTGTGTGTGTCTCTGTGTGTCTCTGTGAGTGTCTCTGTGAGTGTCTCTGTCTGTGTCTCTGTCTGTGTCTCTGTCTGTGTGTCTGTGTGTCTGTGTCTCTGTCTGTGTGTCTGTGTCTCTGTGTGTGTCTGTCTGTGTGTCTGTGTGTCTCACTCTCTGAGTCTGTCTGAGTGTCTGTGTCTCTATGTGTCTGTGTGTCTGTGTCTCTGTGTGTGTCTGTCTGTGTGTCTGTGTGTCTCACTCTCTGAGTCTGTCTGAGTGTCTGTGTGTCTCTGTCTCTGTGTGTCTGTCTGTGTGTCTGTGTCTCACTCTGTGTCTGTGTGTGTCTGTCTGAGTGTCTGTGTGTCTGTGTGTGTGTGTGTCTGTGTGTGTCTGTCTGAGTGTCTCTGTCTCTGTGTCTCTGTCTGTGTGTCTGTGTCTCTCTGAGTCTGTCTGAGTGTCTGTGTGTCTCTGTCTCTGTGTGTCTGTCTGTGTGTCTGTGTCTCACTCTGTGTCTGTGTGTGTCTGTCTGAGTGTCTGTGTGTCTGTGTCTGTGTGTCTGTCTGAGTGTCTCTGTCTCTGTGTCTCTGTCTGTGTGTCTGTGTCTCTCTGAGTCTGTCTGAGTGTCTGTGTGTCTCTGTCTCTGTGTGTCTGTCTGTGTGTCTGTGTCTCACTCTGTGTCTGTGTGTGTCTGTCTGAGTGTCTGTGTGTCTGTGTGTGTGTGTCTGTGTGTGTCTGTCTGAGTGTCTCTGTCTCTGTGTCTCTGTCTGTGTGTCTGTGTCTCTCTGAGTGTCTCTGTGTCTGTGTGCGTGTCTCTGTGTGTGTCTCTGTGTGTCTGTCTCTCTGTGTGTCTCTGAGTGTCTCTGTGTGTGTTTCTGTGTGTGTCTCTGTCTCTGTGTGTGTCTCTGTGTGTGTCTCTGTCTCTGTGTGTGTTTCTGTGTGTGTCTCTGTCTCTGTGTGTGTCTCTGTGTGTGTCTCTGTCTCTGTGTGTGTCTCTGTGTCTGTGTCTCTCTGTGTGTCTGTGTCTCTGTGTGTGTCTGTCTGTGTGTCTCACTCTCTGAGTCTGTCTGAGTGTCTGTGTGTCTGTCTGTGTGTCTGTGTGTCTCTGTGAGTGTCTCTGTGAGTGTCTGTGAGTGTCTCTGTGAGTGTCTCTGTCTCTGTGTGTGTCTCTGTCTGTGTCTCTCTCTGTCTGTGTGTCTGTGTCTCTGTCTGTGTGTCTCTCTGTGTGTCTCTGTGTCTGTGTGCGTACGTGTCGGACGTCATCGATGTCAAGGCCACGAGCAGCAACGGAGGTGGCCACCAGGATGGAGACACGGCCAGACTTGAAGTCACTGAGGGCCTCCTCACGCTCCCTCTGCTGACGGTCGCTGCGTGGACAGAGACACCGGGAGAGAGACACGGGGAGAGAGACACGGGGAGAGAGAGACACGGGGAGAGAGAGAGACACGGTGAGAGAGACACGGTGAGAGAGAGAGAGACACGGGGAGAGAGAGACACGGGAGAGAGAGACACGGAGAGAGAGACACGGGGAGAGAGAGACACGGGGAGAGAGAGACACGGGGAGAGAGAGACACGGGGAGAGACACGGTGAGAGAGAGACACGGGTGAGAGAGACACGGGGAGAGAGAGACACGGGGAGAGAGAGACACGGGGAGAGACACGGGGAGAGAGAGACACGGTGAGAGAGAGACACGGAGAGAGAGACACGGGGAGAGAGAGACACGGGGAGAGAGAGACACGGGGAGAGAGACACGGGGAGAGAGACACGGGGAGAGAGAGAGACACGGGGAGAGAGAGACACGGTGAGAGAGAGAGACACGGGGAGAGAGAGACACGGGGGGGAGAGAGAGACACGGGAGAGAGAGACACGGGGAGAGACACGGGGGGAGAGAGAGACACGGGGAGAGAGAGACACGGGGAGAGAGAGACACGGGGAGAGAGACACGGGGAGAGAGAGACACGGGGAGAGAGAGACACGGGGAGAGAGAGACACGGGGAGAGAGAGACACGGGGAGAGAGAGAGACACGGGGAGAGAGAGAGACACGGGGAGAGAGAGACACGGGGAGAGAGAGAGACACGGGGAGAGAGAGAGACACGGGAGAGAGAGAGACACGGGGAGAGAGAGAGACACGGCCAGACTTGAAGTCGCTGAGGGCCTCCTCACGCTCCCTCTGCTGACGGTCGCTGCGTGGACAGAGACACCGGGGGAGAGACACGGGGAGAGAGACACGGGGGGAGAGAGACACGGTGAGAGAGAGACACGGTGAGAGAGAGAGACACGGGGAGAGAGAGACACGGGGAGAGAGAGACACGGGGAGAGAGAGACACGGGGAGAGAGACACGGGGAGAGAGACACGGGGAGAGAGACACGGGGAGAGAGACACGGGTGAGAGAGAGAGACACGGGGAGAGAGAGACACGGGGAGAGAGAGACACGGGGAGAGAGACACGGGGGGAGAGAGACACGGGGGGGGAGAGAGACACGGGGAGAGAGAGACACGGAGAGAGACACGGGGAGAGAGAGAGACACGGGGAGAGAGAGAGACACGGGAGAGAGAGAGACACGGCCAGACTTGAAGTCACTGAGGGCCTCCTCACGCTCCCTCTGCTGACGGTCGCTGCGTGGACAGAGACACCGGGGGAGAGAGAGACACGGGGAGAGAGAGACACGGGGAGAGAGACACGGGGGAGAGAGACACGGGGGAGAGAGACACGGGGAGAGACACGGGGAGAGACACGGAGAGAGAGAGACACAGGGAGAGAGAGACACGGGGAGAGAGAGAGACACGGGGAGAGACACGGGGAGAGAGAGACACGGGGAGAGAGAGACACGGGGAGAGAGACACGGGGAGAGAGACACGGGGAGAGAGAGAGACACGGGGAGAGAGAGACACGGGGAGAGAGAGACACGGTGAGAGAGAGAGACACGGGGAGAGAGAGACACGGGGGGGAGAGAGAGACACGGGAGAGAGAGACACGGGGAGAGAGACACGGGGGGAGAGAGAGACACGGGGAGAGAGAGACACGGGGAGAGAGAGACACGGGGAGAGAGAGACACGGGGAGAGAGACACGGGGGGAGAGAGAGACACGGGGAGAGACACGGGGAGAGAGAGAGACACGGGGAGAGAGAGAGACACGGCCAGACTTGAAGTCACTGAGGGCCTCCTCACGCTCCCTCTGCTGACGGTCGCTGCGTGGACAGAGACACCGGGGGAGAGAGAGACACGGGGAGAGAGAGACACGGGAGAGAGAGACACGGAGAGAGAGACACGGGGAGAGAGAGACACGGAGAGAGAGACACGGGGAGAGAGAGACACGGGGAGAGAGAGACACGGGGAGAGAGAGAGACACGGGGAGAGAGAGAGACACGGGGAGAGAGAGACACGGGGAGAGAGAGACACGGTGAGAGAGAGAGACACGGGGAGAGAGAGACACGGGGAGAGAGAGACACGGGGAGAGAGAGAGACACGGGGAGAGAGAGAGACACGGGTGGAGAGAGAGACACGGGGAGAGAGAGACACGGGGAGAGAGAGACACGGGAGAGAGACACGGGGAGAGAGAGACACGGGGAGAGAGAGACACGGGGAGAGACACGGGGAGAGAGACACGGGGAGAGAGAGACACGGGGAGAGAGAGACACGGGTGGAGAGAGAGACACGGGGAGAGAGAGACACGGGGAGAGAGAGACACGGGGAGAGAGAGACACGGGGAGAGAGAGACACGGGGAGAGACACGGGGAGAGAGACACGGGGAGAGAGAGACACGGGGAGAGAGAGACACGGGTGGAGAGAGAGACACGGGGAGAGAGAGACACGGGGAGAGAGAGACACGGGGAGAGAGAGACACGGGGAGAGAGAGACACGGGGAGAGACACGGGGAGAGAGACACGGGGAGAGAGACACGGGTGGAGAGAGAGACACGGGGAGAGAGAGACACGGGGAGAGAGAGACATGGGGAGAGAGAGACACGGGGAGAGAGAGACACGGGGAGAGAGAGACACGGGGAGAGACACGGGGAGAGAGACACGGGGAGAGAGAGACACGGGGAGAGAGACACGGGGAGAGAGAGACACGGGGAGAGAGAGACACGGGGAGAGAGACACGGGGAGAGACACGGGGAGAGAGACACGGGTGGAGAGAGAGACACGGGGAGAGAGAGACACGGGGAGAGAGAGACACGGGGAGAGAGAGACACGGGGAGAGAGAGACACGGGGAGAGAGAGACACGGGGAGAGAGAGACACGGGAGAGAGACACGGGGAGAGAGAGAGACACGGCCAGACTTGAAGTCACTGAGGGCCTCCTCACGCTCCCTCTGCTGACGGTCGCTGCGTGGACAGAGACACCGGGGGAGAGACACGGGGAGAGAGAGAGACACGGGGAGAGAGAGAGACACGGGGAGAGAGAGAGACACGGGGAGAGAGAGACACGGGGAGAGAGAGAGACACGGGGAGAGAGAGACACGGGAGAGAGAGACACGGGGAGAGAGACACGGGGAGAGAGAGACACGGGGAGAGAGACACGGGGAGAGAGAGACACGGGGAGAGAGACACGAGGAGAGAGAGACACGGGGAGAGAGAGACACGGGGGGAGAGAGACACGGAGAGAGAGACACGGGGAGAGAGAGAGACACGGGGAGAGAGAGACACGGGGAGAGAGAGAGAGACACGGGGAGAGAGAGACACGGGGAGAGAGACACGGGGAGAGAGAGAGACACGGGGAGAGAGAGAGACACGGGGAGAGAGAGACACGGGGAGAGAGAGACACGGGGGGAGAGACACGGGGAGAGAGAGAGACACGGGGAGAGAGAGACACGGGGAGAGAGAGACACGGGGAGAGAGAGACACGGGGGGAGAGACACGGGGAGAGAGAGAGACACGGGGAGAGAGAGACACGGGGAGAGAGAGAGACACGGGGAGAGAGAGACACGGGGAGAGAGAGACACGGGGAGAGAGAGACACGGGGGGAGAGACACGGGGAGAGAGAGAGACACGGGGAGAGAGAGAGACACGGAGAGAGAGACACAGGTGAGAGAGACACGGGAGAGAGAGACACGGGGAGAGAGAGAGACACGGGGAGAGAGAGACACGGGGAGAGAGAGACACGGGGGGAGAGACACGGGGAGAGAGAGAGACACGGGGAGAGAGAGAGACACGGAGAGAGAGACACAGGTGAGAGAGACACGGGAGAGAGAGACACGGGGAGAGAGAGAGACACGGGGAGAGAGAGACACGGCCAGACTTGAAGTCGCTGAGGGCCTCCTCACGCTCCCTCTGCTGACGGTCGCTGCGTGGACAGAGACACCGGGGGAGAGAGAGACACGGGGAGAGAGAGACACGGGGGGAGAGAGACACGGAGAGAGACACGGGGAGAGAGACACGGGGGGGAGAGACACGGGGAGAGACACGGGGGGAGAGACACGGGGGGAGAGAGACACGGAGAGAGACACGGGGAGAGAGAGACACGGGGAGAGACACGGGGGGGAGAGAGAGACACGGGGGGAGAGAGACACGGGGGGGAGAGACACGGGGAGAGACGGGGAGAGAGACACGGGAGAGAGAGAGACACGGGGAGAGACGGGGAGAGAGACACGGGAGAGAGAGAGACACGGGGAGAGAGAGACACGGGGAGAGAGACACGGGGAGAGAGACACGGGGAGAGAGACACGGGGGGAGAGATACACAGTGGGGTGGTGGTAGTTGGGGTGGTGGTTGTAGTGGTAGTAGCTGTAGTGGTAGTAGTTGTGGTAGTGGTATTAGTAGCAGTGGTAGTAGTGGTAGTAGTAGTTATAGTAGTAGTAGTAGTTACCCGTGGATGCTGGTTGTAGTGTTAGTAGTAGTAATGGTAGTAGTGGTGGTAGTAGTTATAATAGTTATAGTTAATAGTTATAGTAGTTATAGTTACCCGTGGATGCTGGTTGTAGTGTTAGTAGTAGTAATGGTAGTAGTGGTGGTAGTTATAATAGTTATAGTAGTTATAGTTACCCGTGGATGCTGGTTGTAGTGGTGGTGGTAGTAGATGTTGTAGTAGTAGTGGTAGTTATAGTTATAATAGTTATAGTTAATAGTTATAGTAGTTATAGTTACCCGTGGATGCTGGTTGTAGTGTTAGTAGTAGTAATGGTAGTGGTGGTAGTTATAATAGTTATAGTTAATAGTTATAGTAGTTATAGTTACCCGTGGATGCTAGTTGTAGTGTTAGTAGTAGTAATGGTAGTGGTGGTAGTTATAATAGTTATAGTTAATAGTTATAGTAGTTATAGTTACCCGTGGATGCTGGTTGTAGTGTTAGTAGTGGTAGTAGATGTTGTAGTAGTGGTGGTAGTAGTTATAATAGTTATAGTAATACTAGTTATAGTAGTTATAATAGTTATAGTAGTTATAGTTATAGTAGTTATACTAGTTATGGTAGTTGTAGTTACCCGTGGATGCTGGTTGTAGTGGTAGTAGTGGTAGTAGTAGATGTTGTAGTAGTTATAGTGGTTATAATAGTTAGTTATAATAGTTACAGTAGTTATAGTTACCCTTGGATGCTGGTTGTAGTGTTAGTAGTGGTAGTAGATGTAGTAGTAGTTATACTAGTTATAGTAGTTATAATAGTTATGCTAGTTATACTAGTTGTAGTTACCCGTGGATGCTGGTTGTAGTGTTGGTAGTGTTAGTAGTAGATGTAGTAGTTATAATAGTTATATTAGTTATAGTAGTTATAGTTATACTAGTTATAGTAGTTGTAGTTACCCGTGGATGCTGGTTGTAGTGGTAGTAGTGGTAGTAGATGTTGTAGTAGTGGTAGTGTTAGTAGTTATACTAGTTATAGTAGTTATACTAGTTATAGTAGTAGTTATAGTAGTTGTAGTTACCCGTGGATGCTGGTTGTAGTGTTAGTAGTAGTTATACTAGTTATAGTAGTTATACTAGTTATAGTAGTTATACTAGTTATAGTAGTTATAATAGTTATGCTAGTTATAGTAGTTGTAGTTACCCGTGGATGCTGGTTGTAGTGGTAGTAGTGGTAGTAGATGTTGTAGTAGTAGTAGATGTAGTAGTAGTTATAGTAGTTATAATAGTTATACTAGTTATACTAGTTGTAGTTACCCGTGGATGCTGGTTGTAGTGGTAGTAGTGGTAGTAGATGTTGTAGTAGTAGTAGATGTAGTAGTAGTTATACTAGTTATAGTAGTTATACTAGTTATACTAGTTATGCTAGTTATAGTAGTTGTAGTTACCAGTGGATGCTGGTTGTAGTGGTAGTAGTGGTAGTAGTTATACTAGTTATAGTGGTTATACTAGTCATAGTAGTTATACTAGTTATAGTAGTTATACTAGTTATGCTAGTTATACTAGTTGTAGTTACCCGTGGATGCTGGTTGTAGTGGTAGTAGTGGTAGTAGATGTTGTAGTAGTGGTAGTGTTAGTAGTGGTAGTAGTTATAATAGTTATACTAGTTATAGTAGTAGTTATAATAGTTATACTAGTTATAGTAGTAGTTATAGTAGTTATACTAGTTATAGTAGTAGTTATACTAGTTGTAGTTACCCGTGGATGCTGGTTGTAGTGTTAGTAGTGGTAGTAGTAGTTATAATAGTTATGCTAGTTATACTAGTTGTAGTTATCCGTGGATGCTGGTTGTAGTGTTAGTAGTAGTTATATTAGTTATAGTAGTTATAATAGTTATACTAGTTATAATAGTTGTAGTTACCCGTGGATGCTGGTTGTAGTGTTAGTAGTGCTAGTAGTGGTAGTGTTAGTAGTTATACTAGTTATAGTAGTTATAATAGTTATAGTTATAATAGTTGTAGTTACCCGTGGATGCTGGTTGTAGTGGTAGTAGTGGTAGTAGATGTTGTAGTAGTGGTAGTGTTAGTAGTTATACTAGTTATGCTAGTTATAGTAGTTACCCGTGGATGCTGGTTGTAGTGGTAGTAGTGGTAGTAGATGTTGTAGTAGTGGTAGTAGTAGTAGATGTAGTAGTAGTTATAGTAGTTATACTAGTTATACTAGTTGTAGTTACCCGTGGATGCTGGTTGTAGTGTTAGTAGTGTTAGTAGTTATAATAGTTATACTAGTTATGCTAGTTATACTAGTTATAATAGTTATACTAGTTGTAGTTACCCGTGGATGCTGGTTGTAGTGTTAGTAGTGGTAGTAGTTATACCAGTTATACTAGTTATAATAGTTATGCTAGTTATAGTAGTTGTAGTTACCCGTGGATGCTGGTTGTAGTGTTAGTAGTAGTTATACCAGTTATACTAGTTATAGTAGTTATACTAGTTATACTAGTTATACTAGTTGTAGTTACCCGTGGATGCTGGTTGTAGTGTTAGTAGTGGTAGTAGTTATACTAGTTATAATAGTTATACTAGTTATACTAGTTATGCTAGTTATACTAGTTGTAGTTACCCGTGGATGCTGGTTGTAGTGTTAGTAATGGTAGTAGATGTTGTAGTAGTAGTAGATGTAGTAGTAGTTATAGTAGTTATACTAGTTATGCTAGTTATAGTAGTTGTAGTTACCCGTGGATGCTGGTTGTAGTGTTAGTAGTGTTAGTAGTTATAATAGTTATACTAGTTATAATAGTTATACTAATTATACTAGTTGTAGTTACCCGTGGATGCTGGTTGTAGTGTTAGTAGTGGTAGTAGTAGTTATACCAGTTATACTAGTTATAGTAGTTATACTAGTTATGCTAGTTATACTAGTTGTAGTTACCCGTGGATGCTGGTTGTAGTGTTAGTAGTGCTAGTAGTGGTAGTGTTAGTAGTTATACTAGTTATAATAGTTATACTAGTTATAGTAGTGGTAGTAGTTATAATAGTTATACTAGTTATAGTAGTTATACTAGTTATAGTAGTTGTAGTTACCCGTGGATGCTGGTTGTAGTGGTGGTAGTGGTAGTAGTAGTTATACCAGTTATAATAGTTATACTAGTTATGCTAGTTATAGTAGTTGTAGTTACCCGTGGATGCTGGTTGTAGTGTTAGTAGTGCTAGTAGTAGTTATACCAGTTATACTAGTTATAATAGTTATACTAGTTATAATAGTTATACTAGTTATAGTAGTTGTAGTTACCCGTGGATGCTGGTTGTAGTGTTAGTAGTGGATGTAGTAGTAGTTATACCAGTTATACTAGTTATAATAGTTATACTAGTTATGCTAGTTATAGTAGTTGTAGTTACCCGTGGATGCTGGTTGTAGTGTTAGTAGTGCTAGTAGTAGTTATACCAGTTATACTAGTTATAATAGTTATACTAGTTATAATAGTTATACTAGTTATAGTAGTTGTAGTTACCCGTGGATGCTGGTTGTAGGGAATCCGGACTGGCACAGGAGGCAGGCCAAGAAGTCTGCGCTCCGTTTAGTTTCTACAAACACCAAGGTGCGATCCAGACCTGCAGTGTCACAGAGTGTCACAGAGTGTGTTAGTGTGTGTCACAGTGTGTGTGTGTGTCAGTGTGTGTGTCACAGTGTGTTACTGTGTGTGTGTCACATTGTGTCACAGTTTCTACAAACACCAAGGTGCGATCCAGACCTGCAGTGTCACAGAGTGTGTCACAGTGTCACAGTGTGTCACAGAGTCACTGTGTGTCAGTGTGTCACAGTGTGTGTGTCACAGTGTGTCACAGAGTCACAGTGTCACAGTGTGTCACAGTGTGTGTGTCACGGTGTGTCACACTGTGTGTTACTGTGTCACAGTGTCACAGTGTGTGTCACAGTGTGTGTCACAGTGTCACAGTGTGTCACAGTTTCTACAAACACCAAGGTGCGATCCAGACCTGCAGTGTCACAGAGTCACAGTGTGTCACAGTGTGTGTTACTGTGTGTGTCACAGTGTGTCACAGTGTGTCACAGTGTGTGTCACAGTGTCACAGTGTGTCACAGTGTGTCACAGTGTCACATTGTGTGTCACAGTGTGTGTCACAGTGTCACATTGTGTGTCACAGTGTGTGTCACAGTGTCACAGTGTGTGTGTCACAGTGTGTGTCACAGTGTCACAGTGTGTCACAGTTTCTACAAACACCAAGGTGCGATCCAGACCTGCAGTGTCACAGAGTCACAGTGTGTCATAGTGTGTCACAGTGTCACATTGTGTGTCACAGTGTGTGTCACAGTGTCACATTGTGTGTCACATTGTGTGTTACAGTGTCACAGTGTGTCACATTGTGTGTCACAGTGTGTCACAGTGTGTCAGTGTGTGTCACAGTGTCACAGTGTGTCACAGTGTGTCACTGTGTCAGTGTGTGTGTCACAGTGTGTCACAGTGTGTCACAGAGTGTCACAGTGTGTGTCACAGTGTCACAGTGTGTCACAGTGTGTCACAGAGTGTCACAGTTTCTACAAACACCAAGGTGCGATCCAGACCTGCAGTGTCACAGAGTGTCACAGAGTGTTACTGTGTGTCACAGTGTGTGTGTCACTGTGTGTGTGTTACTGTGTGTGTCACAGTGTGTCAGTGTGTTACTGTGTGTGTCAGTGTGTCACAGTGTGTCACTGTGTCAGTGTGTGTCATAGTGTGTCAGTGTGTGTGTGTGTCACAGTGTGTGTCACAGTGTGTGTGTCAGTGTGTCACAGTGTGTTACTGTGTCACAGTGTGTGTCAGTGTGTGTCACAGTGTGTGTGTGTCACAGTGTGTCACAGTGTGTGTGTCACAGTGTGTCACAGTGTGTGTGTCACAGTGTGTGTGTCACAGTGTGTCACAGTGTGTGTCACAGTGTGACACAGTGTGTGTCACAGTGTGTCAGTGTGTGTCACAGTGTGTGTCACAGTGTGTGTGTGTGTCACAGTGTGTGTGTCACAGTGTGTCACAGTGTGTCACAGTGTGTGTCACAGTGTGTGTGTGTCACAGTGTGTGTCAGTGTCACAGTGTGTCACAGTGTGTGTGTCACAGTGTGTCACAGTGTGTCACAGTGTGTGTCACAGTGTGTGTCACAGTGTCACAGTGTGTGTGTGACAGTGTGTGTCAGTGTCACAGAGTGTCAGTGTGTCACACTGTGTGTTACTGTGTCACAGTGTGTCACAGTGTCACAGTGTGTTACAGTTTCTACAAACACCAAGGTGCGATCCAGACCTGCAGTGTCACAGAGTGTCACAGTGTCACAGTGTGTGTCAGTGTGTGTGTCAGTGTGTCACAGTGTGTCACAGTCACAGTGTGTCACAGTGTGTCACAGTGTGTGTCACAATGTGTCACTGTGTGTCACAGTTTCTACAAACACCAAGGTGCGCTCCAGACCTGCAGTGTCACACAGTGTGTCACAGTGTGTGTGTCAGTGTGTCAGTGTGTGTGTCACAGTGTGTGTCAGTGTGTCAGTGTGTCACAGTGTGTCAGTGTGTGTCACAGTGTGTCACAGAGTCACAGTGTCACAGAGTGTCACAGTGTGTGTCACAGTGTGTGTGTGTCATAGTGTGTGTCACAGAGTCACAGTGTCACAGTGTGTCAGTGTGTGTTACAGTGTCACAGTGTGTCACAGTGTGTGTCACAGTGTGTGTCAGTGTCACAGAGTCACAGTGTCACAGTGTGTGTCACAGAGTGTCACAGTGTGTGTGTCACAGTGTGTGTGTTACTGTGTGTGTGTGTCACAGTGTCACAGTGTGTCATAGTGTGTGTCACAGTGTGTCACAGTGTGTCAGTGTGTCATAGTGTGTGTCACAGAGTGTCACAGTGTGTCACAGTGTGTGTGTGTCACAGTGTGTGTTACTGTGTGTGTGTCACAGTGTCACAGTGTGTGTGTCACAGTGTGTCACAGTGTCACAGAGTGTCACAGTCAGTGTGTTACTGTGTGTGTCACAGTCAGTGTGTCACAGTCAGTGTCACAGTGTGTGTCACAGTGTGTCACAGTCAGTGTGTCACATTCACAGTGTCACAGCGTGTGTCACTGTGTGTCAGTGTGTGTGTCACAGTGTGTGTGTCACAGTGTGTGTGTCACAGTGTGTGTCACAGTGTGTCACAGTGTGTCACAGTGTGTGTCACAGTGTGTGTCACAGTGTGTGTCACAGTGTGTGTCACAGTGTGTGTCACAGTGTGTGTCACAGTGTGTGTGTTACTGTGTGTCACAGTGTCACTGTGTGTGTCACAGTGTGTGTCACAGTGTGTGTCTCTGTGTGTCACAGTGTGTGTGTGTGTCAAAGTGTGTCGCAGTGTGTCACAGTGTGTCAGTGTCACAGTGTGACACACACTGTGACACTGTGACACACTGCGACACACACTGTGTCACAGTGTGTCGCAGTGTGTGTCTCTGTGTGTCATAGTGTGTGTGTTACTGTGTGTGTCACAGTGTGTGTGTCACAGTCAGTGTGTTACTGTGTGTGTCACAGTGTCACAGTGTGTGTCACTGTGTGTGTCACAGTGTGTGTGTCACAGTGTGTGTGTCACTGTGTGTGTCACAGTGTGTGTGTCACAGTGTGTGTGTTACTGTGTGTGTCACAGTGTGTCACAGTGTGCGTGACAGTGTGTCACAGTGTGTCACAGTGTGTCAGTGTGTGTGTCAGTGTGTGTGTCACAGTGTGTGTCACAGTGTGTCACAGTGTGTCACAGTGTGTGTCTCTGTGTCACAGTGTGTGTCTCTGTGTGTCACAGTGTGTGTGTGTCAAAGTGTGTCGCAGTGTGTCAAAGTGTGTCGCAGTGTGTCACAGTGTGTGTCACAGTGTGTCAGTGTGTGTCACAGTGTGTGTGTCACAGTGTGTGTCACAGTGTGTCACGGTGTGTCAGTGTGTGTCACACTGTGTGTGTCAGTGTGTCAGTGTCACAGAGTGTCACAGTGTGTGTCTCTGTGTGTCACAGTGTGTGTCTCTGTGTGTGTGTCTGTGTGTGTCTGTGTCTCTGTGTGTGTCTCTGTGTGTGTCTCTGTGTGTGTCTCTGTGTGTCACAGTGTGTGTCACTGTGTGTCTGTGTGTGTCTGTGTGTCTCTGTGTGTGTCTCAGTGTTTGTCTCTGTGTGTGTCTCTGTGTGTGTGTCTGTGTGTGTGTCTGTGTGTGTGTGTGTCTGTGTGTGTGTCTGTGTGTGTGTGTCTGTGTGTGTGTCTGTCTCTCTGTGTGTGTGTCTCTGTGTCTCTGTGTGTGTGTGTCTGTGTGTGTGTCTGTGTGTCTCTGTGTGTGTCTCTCTGTGTGTGTCTCTGTGTGTGTGTGTCTGTGTGTGTGTCTGTGTGTGTGTGTCTGTGTGTCTCTGTGTGTGTCTCTCTGTGTGTGTCTCTCTGTGTGTGTCTGTGTGTGTGTCTGTGTGTTTGTCTGTGTGTGTGTGTCTGTGTGTCTCTGTGTGTCTCTGTGTGTGTGTGTCTCTGTGTGTGTGTCTGTGTGTGTCTGTGTGTGTGTCTGAGTGTGTCTCTGTGTGTGTGTGTCTGTGTGTCTCTGTGTGTGTCTCTGTGTGTGTCTCTGTGTGTGTCTCTGTGTCTCTGTCTGTGTGTGTCTCTCTGTGTGTCTCTGTGTGTGTCTCTCTGTGTCTCTGTGTGTGTCTCTGTGTGTGTCTCTGTGTGTGTGTCTCTGTGTGTGTCTCTGTGTGTGTCTCTGTGTGTCTCTGTGTGTGTCTCTGTGTGTGTGTCTGTGTGTCTCTGTGTGTGTCTCTGAGTGTCACTGTGTGTGTGTGTGTCACTGTGTGTGTCTCTGTGTGTGTCTCTGTGTGTGTCTCTGTGTGTGTCTCTGTGTGTGTCTCTGTGTGTCTCTGTGTGTGTCTCTGTGTGTCTCTCTGTGTGTCTCTCTGTGTGTGTGTGTGTCTCTGTGTGTGTCTCTGTGTTTGTCTCTGTGCGTCTCTCTGTGTGTCTCTCTGTGTGTGTCTCTGTGTGTGTCTCTGTGTATGTCTCTGTGTGTCTCTGTGTGTGTCTCTCTGTGTGTCTCTCTGTGTGTGTGTGTCTCTGTGTGTGTCTGTGTGTGTCTCTGTGTGTGTCTCTGTGTGTGTCTCTGTGTGTGTCTCTGTGTCTCTGTGTGTGTCTCTGTGTGTGTCTCTGTGTGTGTCTCTGTGTGTGTCTCTGTGTGTCTATCTGTGTGTGTCTCTGTGTGTGTCTCTGTGTGTCTCTGTGTCTCTGTCTCTCTGTGTGCCTCTGTGTGTGCCTCTGTGTGTCTCTGTGTGTGCCTCTGTGTGTGCCTCTGTGTGTGTCTCTGTGTGTCTATCTGTGTGTCTCTGTGTCTCTGTGTCTGTGTCTCTGTGTCTCTACCGAAGTCTCCTAGCAGCTGCAGGAGTCTCTCACGCTTGTCAAAGTTGCCCACTCGCTCGATCTGTCTCTGTGTGTCTCTGTGTGTGTCTGTGTCTATCTGTGTGTGTCTGTGTGTCTCTGTGTGTCTCTCTGTGTCTGTGTGTCTCTGTGTGTGTCTCTATGTGTGTCTCTGTGTGTGTCTCTGTGTGTCTCTGTGTGTGTCTCTGTGTCTCTCTGTGTGTGTCTGTGTGTGTCTGTGTGTCTCTGTGTGTCTATCTGTGTGTCTCTCTGTGTCTGTGTGTCTCTGTGTGTGTCTCTGTGTGTGTCTCTGTGTCTCTGTGTCGCTGTGTCTCTCTGTGTGCCTCTGTGTGTGTGTCTCTCTGTGTGTCTCTCTGTGTGCCTCTGTGTGTGCCTCTGTGTGTGTCTCTGTGTGTGTCTCTGTGTGTGTCTCTGTGTGTGTCTCTGTGTGTCTCTGTGTCTCTGTGTCTCTCTGTGTGCCTCTGTGTGTGTGTCTCTGTGTGTCTCTCTGTGTGTCTCTCTGTGTGTCTCTGTGTGTGTCTCTGTGTGTGCCTCTGTGTGTGTGTCTCTCTGTGTGTCTCTGTGTGTGCCTCTGTGTGTGCCTCTGTGTGTCTCTCTGTGTGCGTCTCTGTGTGTGTCTCTGTGTGTGTCTCTGTGTGTGTCTCTGTGTCTCTCTGTGTGTGTCTCTGTGTGTCTCTGTGTGTGTCTCTCTGAGTGTCTCTGTGTGTCTCTGTGTGTGTCTCTGTGTCTCTGTGTGTCTCTGTGTCTCACTGTGTGTCTCTGTGTGTGTCTCTGTGTGTCTCTGTGTCTCACTGTGTGTCTCTGTGTCTCTACCGAAGTCTCCCAGCAGCTGGAGGAGTCTCTCACGCTTGTCAAAGTTGCCCACTCGCTCCATCTGTCTCTGTGTGTCTCTCTGTGTGTGTCTCTGTGTGTGTCTCTGTGTCTCTGTGTGTGTCTCTGTGTGTGTCTGTGTCTCTGTGTGTGTCTCTCTGTGTCTCTGTGTGTCTCTGTGTGTGTGTGTCTGTGTGTGTCTCTGTGTGTGTCTCTCTGTGTGTCTCTGTGTGTGTCTCTCTGTGTGTCTCTCTGTGTGTCTCTCTGTGTGTCTGTGTGTGTCTCTGTGTGTGTGTGTGTCTCTCTGTGTGTCTCTCTGTGTGTCTCTCTGTGTGTCTCTGTGTGTGTCTCTGTGTGTGTCTCTGTGTGTGTCTCTGTGTCTCTGTGTGTGTCTCTGTGTCTCTGTGTCTCTACCGAAGTCTCCCAGCAGCTGCAGGAGTCTCTCACGCTTGTCAAAGTTTCCCACTCGCTCGATCTGTCTCTGTGTGTCTCTGTGTGTGTCTGTCTCTCTGTGTGCGTCTCTCTGTGTCTCTCTGTCTCTCTGTGTGTCTCTCTGTCTCTGTGTGTGTCTCTGTGTCTCTCTACCGAAGTCTCCCAGCAGCTGCAGGAGTCTCTCACGCTTGTCAAAGTTTCCCACTCGCTCGATCTGTCTCTGTGTCTCTCTGTCTGTCTCTGTGTCTGTGTGTCTGTGTCTCTGTGTGTCTCTGTGTGTCTCTGTGTGTGTCACTGTGTGTGTCTCTGTGTGTGTGTCTCTGTGTGTGTCTGTCTCTCTGTGTGTGTCTCTGTGTGTGTGTGTCTCTGTGTGTGTGTCTCTGTGTGTGTCTCTGTGTGTGTGTGTCTCTGTGTGTGTCTCTGTGTGTGTGTCTGTGTGTGTCTCTGTGTGTGTGTCTCTCTGTGTGTCTCTCTGTGTGTCTCTGTGTGTGTCTCTGTGTCTCTGTCTGTGTGTGTCTCTCTGTGTGTGTCTATGTGTGTCTGTGTGTGTCTGTGTGTCTCTGTGTCTGTGTGTCTGTGTACCGAAGTCTCCCAGCAGCTGCAGGAGTCTCTCACGCTTGTCAAAGTTTCCCACTCGCTCGATCTGTCTCTGTGTGTCTCTGTGTGTGTCTGTCTCTCTGTGTGCGTCTCTCTGTGTCTCTCTGTCTCTCTGTGTGTCTCTCTGTCTCTGTGTGTGTCTGTGTGTCTCTGTGTCTGTGTCTGTGTGTCTGTGTCTCTACCGAAGTCTCCCAGCAGCTGCAGGAGTCTCTCACGCTTCTCAAAGTTTCCCACTCGCTCGATCGACTGCCGCACGTCACAGCAAGCGCCTCCAACACGGCCCACGACCACAAACAGATAGTCAGCTCGCAGAAAGTCTCCAGCCAGCCTGCAGTGACACACACACAGTGACACACACAGTGACACACACAGTGTGACACACACACAGTGACACACACAGTGACACACAGTGACACACACAGTGACACACACAGTGACACACAGTGACACACAGTGACACACACACAGTGACACACACACAGTGACACACACAGTGACACACAGTGACACACACAGTGACACACACAGTGACACACACAGTGACACACACACAGTGACACACACAGTGACACACACACAGTGACACACACACAGTGACACACACACACAGTGTCACACACACACAGTGACACACACACAGTGACACACACACAGTGACACACACAGTGACACACACAGTGACACACACACAGTGACACACACACAGTGACACACACAGTGACACACACAGTGACACACAGTGATACACACACACAGTGATACACACACACAGTGATACACACACAGTGACACACACAGTGACACACACACAGTGACACACACACAGTGACACACACACACAGTGACACACACAGTGACACACACAGTGACACACACACACAGTGACACACAGTGACACACAGTGACACACACAGTGACACACACACACACACAGTGACTCACACAGTGACACACACACACAGTGACACACACAGTGACACACACAGTGACACACAGTGACACACACAGTGACACACACACACACAGTGACTCACACAGTGACACACACACAGTGACACACACAGTGACACACACACAGCGACACACACAGACACAGTGATACGGTGTGTTTGTGTGTCTGTCTGTGTCTATGTGTGTGTCTGTTTGTGTGTGTCACTGTGTGTGTGTCACTGTGTGTGTGTCACTGTGTGTGTGTCACTGTGTGTGTCACTGTGTGTGTGTCACTGTGTGTGTGTGTCACTGTGTGTGTGTGTGTGTGTCACTGTGTGTGTCACTGTGTGTGTGTCACTGTGTGTGTGACTGTGTGTGTGTCACTGTGTGTGTCACTGTGTGTGTCACTGTGTGTGTGTGTCACTGTGTGTCACTGTGTGTGTGTGTCACTGTGTGTGTCACTGTGTGTGTCACTAACTTCTGTATCACCGTAGGGAAAGTGGCACTAAACATGAGTGTCACTGTGTGTGTGTCACTGTGTGTGTCACTGTGTGTCACTGTGTGTGTCACTGTGTGTGTCACTGTGTGTGTCACTAACTTCTGTATCTCCGTAGGGAAAGTGGCACTAAACATGAGTGTCACTGTGTGTGTCACTGTGTGTGTCACTGTGTGTGTGTCACTGTGTGTGTCACTGTGTGTGTCACTGTGTGTCACTGTGTGTGTGTGTCACTGTGTGTGTCACTGTGTGTGTGTCACTGTGTGTGTCACTGTGTGTGTGTCACTGTGTGTGTGTCACTGTGTGTGTGTCACTGTGTGTGTGTCACTGTGTGTGTGTGTGTCACTGTGTGTGTCACTGTGTGTGTCACTGTGTGTGTCACTAACTTCTGTATCTCCGTAGGGAAAGTGGCACTGAACATGAGTGTCACTATGTGTGTGTCACTGTGTGTGTGTCACTGTGTGTGTGTCACTGTGTGTGTCACTGTGTGTGTGTCACTGTGTGTGTGTGTCACTGTGTGTGTGTCACTGTGTGTGTCACTGTGTGTGTCACTGTGTGTGTGTCACTATGTGTGTGTCACTAACTTCTGTATCTCCGTAGGGAAAGTGGCACTAAACATGAGTGTCACTGTGTGTGTGTCACTGTGTGTCACTGTGTGTGTGTCACTGTGTGTGTGTCACTGTGTGTGTCACTGTGTGTGTCACTAACTTCTGTATCTCCGTAGGGAAAGTGGCACTAAACATGAGTGTCACTGTGTGTCACTGTGTGTGTGTCACTGTGTGTGTCACTGTGTGTGTCACTGTGTGTGTCACTGTGTGTGTGTCACTGTGTGTGTGTCACTGTGTGTGTCACTGTGTGTGTCACTAACTTCTGTATCTCCGTAGGGAAAGTGGCACTAAACATGAGTGTCACTGTGTGTCACTGTGTGTGTGTGTCACTGTGTGTGTCACTGTGTGTGTCACTGTGTGTGTGTCACTGTGTGTGTCACTGTGTGTGTCACTAACTTCTGTATCTCCGTAGGGAAAGTGGCACTGAACATGAGTGTCACTGTGTGTCACTGTGTGTGTGTCACTGTGTGTGTGTCACTGTGTGTGTGTCACTGTGTGTGTGTCACTGTGTGTGTGTCACTGTGTGTGTGTCACTGTGTGTGTCACTGTGTGTGTCACTAACTTCTGTATCTCCGTAGGGAAAGTGGCACTGAACATGAGTGTCACTGTGTGTGTGTCACTGTGTGTGTCACTGTGTGTGTCACTAACTTCTGTATCTCCGTAGGGAAAGTGGCACTAAACATGAGTGTCACTGTGTGTGTCACTGTGTGTGTGTCACTGTGTGTGTCACTGTGTGTGTCACTAACTTCTGTATCTCCGTAGGGAAAGTGGCACTAAACATTAGTGTCACTGTGTGTGTCACTGTGTGTGTGTCACTGTGTGTGTGTGTCACTGTGTGTGTGTGTCACTGTGTGTGTGTGTCACTGTGTGTGTGTGTCACTGTGTGTCACTAACTTCTGTATCTCCGTAGGGAAAGTGGCACTAAACATGAGTGTCACTGTGTGTGTGTCACTGTGTGTGTCACTGTGTGTGTCACTGTGTGTGTGTCACTGTGTGTGTGTGTCACTGTGTGTGTCACTGTGTGTGTGTGTCACTGTGTGTGTCACTGTGTGTGTCACTGTGTGTGTCACTGTGTGTGTCACTAACTTCTGTATCTCCGTAGGGAAAGTGGCACTAAACATGAGTGTCACTGTGTGTGTCACTGTGTGTGTGTGTGTCACTGTGTGTGTCACTGTGTGTGTCACTGTGTGTGTCACTGTGTGTGTGTCACTGTGTGTGTCACTGTGTGTGTCACTAACTTCTGTATCTCCGTAGGGAAAGTGGCACTAAACATGAGTGTCACTGTGTGTGTCACTGTGTGTGTGTCACTGTGTGTGTGTGTCACTGTGTGTGTCACTGTGTGTGTCACTGTGTGTGTCACTGTGTGTGTCACTGTGTGTGTCACTGTGTGTGTCACTAACTTCTGTATCTCCGTAGGGAAAGTGGCACTAAACATTAGTGTCACTGTGTGTGTGTCACTGTGTGTGTGTCACTGTGTGTGTCACTGTGTGTGTCACTGTGTGTGTCACTAACTTCTGTATCTCCGTAGGGAAAGTGGCACTGAACATGAGTGTCACTGTGTGTGTGTCACTGTGTGTGTCACTGTGTGTGTCACTGTGTGTGTGTCACTGTGTGTGTCACTGTGTGTGTGTCACTGTGTTTGTGTCACTGTGTGTGTGTCACTGTGTGTCACTAACTTCTGTATCTCCGTAGGGAAAGTGGCACTGAACATGAGTGTCACTGTGTGTGTGTCACTGTGTGTGTGTCACTGTGTGTGTCACTGTGTGTCACTGTGTGTGTGTCACTGTGTGTGTCACTGTGTGTGTCACTAACTTCTGTATCTCCGTAGGGAAAGTGGCACTGAACATGAGTGTCACTGTGTGTGTCACTGTGTGTGTGTCACTGTGTGTGTGTCACTGTGTGTGTGTCACTGTGTGTCACTAACTTCTGTATCTCCGTAGGGAAAGTGGCACTGAACATGAGTGTCACTGTGTGTGTGTCACTGTGTGTGTCACTGTGTGTCACTGTGTGTGTCACTGTGTGTGTCACTAACTTCTGTATCTCCGTAGGGAAAGTGGCACTAAACATGAGTGTCACTGTGTGTGTCACTGTGTGTGTGTCACTGTGTGTGTGTCACTGTGTGTGTGTCACTGTGTGTGTCACTGTGTGTCACTGTGTGTGTCACTGTGTGTGTCACTAACTTCTGTATCTCCGTAGGGAAAGTGGCACTAAACATGAGTGTCTGTCGCTGTTCCCGTGGTGGGACAGAATCCAGAATTCGCCTCACATCCTGCTCAAAGCCCAGCTCCAGCATGCGATCAGCCTCGTCCAGAATCACAAACTCCACCTTCGACAGACTCACCTAGACACACACACACAAAGACATACACACAGACACACACACACAGACAGTGACACACACACAGTGACACATAGACACACACAGTGACACATAGACACATCCTGCTCAAAGCCCAGCTCCAGCATGCGATCAGCCTCGTCCAGAATCACAAACTCCACCTTGGACAGACTCACCTAGACACACACACAGTGACATACACACAGACACACACACAGACACACACACAGTGACACACACAGAGACACACAGAGACACACACACAGAGACACACAGAGACACACATCCTGCTCAAAGCCCAGCTCCAGCATGCGATCAGCCTCGTCCAGAATCACAAACTCCACCTTGGACAGACTCACCTAGACACACACAGTGACACACACAGTGACACACACACACAGTGACACACACACACACATAGACAGACACATCCTGCTCAAAGCCCAGCTCCAGCATGCGATCAGCCTCGTCCAGAATCACAAACTCCACCTTCGACAGACTCACCTAGACACACACACACAGTGTACACACACACACACAGTGACACACACACACACACACATAGACACACACAGACACACACACACACACAGAGACACACAGTGACACACACACACAGACACACACAGAGACACACAGAGACACACATAGACACACACATCCTGCTCAAAGCCCAGCTCCAGCATGCGATCAGCCTCGTCCAGAATCACAAACTCCACCTTCGACAGACTCACCTAGACACACACACACAAAGACATACACACAGACACACACACACAGACAGTGACACACACACAGTGACACATAGACAGACACATCCTGCTCAAAGCCCAGCTCCAGCATGCGATCAGCCTCGTCCAGAATCACAAACTCCACCTTGGACAGACTCACCTAGACACACACACAGTGACATACACACAGACACACACACAGACACACACACAGTGACACACACAGAGACACACAGAGACACACACACAGAGACACACACACACACATAGACAGACACAACCTGCTCAAAGCCCAGCTCCAGCATGCGATCAGCCTCGTCCAGAATCACAAACTCCACCTTCGACAGACTCACCTAGACACACACACACACACAGTGACACACACACAGTGACACACACACACACAGTGACACACAGAGACACACACACACAGTGAGACAAACACACAGACACACACACACAGTGACACACACACAGAGACACATAGACACACACAGTGACACAGACAGACACATCCTGCTCAAAGCCCAGCTCCAGCATGCGATCAGCCTCGTCCAGAATCACAAACTCCACCTTCGACAGACTCACCTAGACACACACACACACAGTGACATACACACAGACACACACACAGACACGCACAGACACACACACACAGAGAGACACACAGTGACACACACACACAGTGACACACACACAGACACACACACAGTGACACACACACACAGTGACACACACAGAGACACACATAGACAGACACATCCTGCTCAAAGCCCAGCTCCAGCATGCGATCAGCCTCGTCCAGAATCACAAACTCCACCTTGGACAGACTCACCTAGACACACACACACAGACACAAAGACATACACACAGACACACACACAGACACACACACAGAGACACACAGAGACACACATCCTGCTCAAAGCCCAGCTCCAGCATGCGATCAGCCTCGTCCAGAATCACAAACTCCACCTTGGACAGACTCACCTAGACACACACACACAGAGAGACACACACAGTGACACACACAGTGACACACACAGTGACACACACACAGTGACACACACACACAGTGACACAGACACACACAGTGACACATAGACACACACATCCTGCTCAAAGCCCAGCTCCAGCATGCGATCAGCCTCGTCCAGAATCACAAACTCCACCTTCGACAGACTCACCTAGACACACACAGTGACACACACACAGTGACACACACACAGACAATGACACACACACACAGACTCACACACAGAGACACAGAGACACACCCAGTGACACACACAGACACACAGAGACACACACAGATAGACACACACACACACAGACACACACAGAGACACACACACACACACATAGACACACACATCCTGCTCAAAGCCCAGCTCCAGCATGCGATCAGCCTCGTCCAGAATCACAAACTCCACCTTGGACAGACTCACCTAGACACACACACACACAGTGACACACACACAGTGACACACACAGTGACACAGATAGTGACACACACAGTGACACACACAGTGACACACACACAGTGACACACACAGTGACATACACACAGACACACACAGTGACACACACACAGACACACACACAGTGACACATAGACAGACACATCCTGCTCAAAGCCCAGCTCCAGCATGCGATCAGCCTCGTCCAGAATCACAAACTCCACCTTGGACAGACTCACCTAGACACACACACACAGACACACACACAGTGACACACACACAGTGACACAGTGACACACACACAGTGACACACACAGTGACACATAGACACACACATCCTGCTCAAAGCCCAGCTCCAGCATGCGATCAGCCTCGTCCAGAATCACAAACTCCACCTTGGACAGACTCACCTAGACACACACACACAGACACACACACAGTGACACACACACAGTGACACAGTGACACACACACAGTGACACACACAGTGACACATAGACACACACATCCTGCTCAAAGCCCAGCTCCAGCATGCGATCAGCCTCGTCCAGAATCACAAACTCCACCTTCGACAGACTCACCTAGACACACACACACACAGTGACATACACACAGACACACACACAGACACGCACAGACACAGAGAGACACACAGTGACACACACACACAGAGACACACAGAGACACACATAGACACACACATCCTGCTCAAAGCCCAGCTCCAGCATGTGATCAGCCTCGTCCAGAATCACAAACTCCACCTTCGACAGACTCACCTAGACACACACAATGACACACACACAGTGACACACACACATAGTAACACACAGACACACAGTGACACACACAGAGACACACACACACACACATAGACACACACATCCTGCTCAAAGCCCAGCTCCAGCATGCGATCAGCCTCGTCCAGAATCACAAACTCCACCTTCGACAGACTCACCTAGACACACACACACAAAGACATACACACAGACACACACACACAGACAGTGACACACACACAGTGACACAGACACACAGTGACACATAGACAGACACATCCTGCTCAAAGCCCAGCTCCAGCATACGATCAGCCTCGTCCAGAATCACAAACTCCACCTTCGATATACTCACCTAGACACACACACACACATAGTGACACACACATAGTGACACACACACACACAGTGACACACACACATAGTGACACACACACAGACACACAGTGACACACACACACAGTGACACACAAACACAGTGACACACACACAGTCACACACACAGATACACACAGATACACACACACAGAGAGACACACACAGTGACACACACACAGAGACACACAGAGACACACATCCTGCTCAAAGCCCAGCTCCAGCATGCGATCAGCCTCGTCCAGAATCACAAACTCCACCTTCGACAGACTCACCTAGACACACACACACAAAGACATACACACAGACACACACACACAGACAGTGACACACACACAGTGACACATAGACACACACAGTGACACATAGACACATCCTGCTCAAAGCCCAGCTCCAGCATGCGATCAGCTTCGTCCAGAATCACAAACTCCACCTTGGACAGACTCACCTAGACACACACACACAGACACACACACAGAGACACACACAGTAACACAGAGACACACCCAGTGACACACACAGAGATACACACAGATAGACACACACACAGAGACACAGACACACACACACAGACACACACAGTGACACACACACATAGTGACACACAGACACACACAGACACACAGTGACACACACAGAGACACACACACACACACATAGACACACACATCCTGCTCAAAGCCCAGCTCCAGCATGCGATCAGCCTCGTCCAGAATCACAAACTCCACCTTCGACAGACTCACCTAGACACACACACACACAGTGACACATAGACACACACACAGACACAGTGACACACACACACACAGTCACACACATAGACACACACACAGAGACAGTGACACACAGAGACACAGACACACAGTGACACAGTGACACACACACACAGAGAAACACACACAGTGACACACACACAGTGACACACACAGACACACACACAGATAGACACACACAGAGACACACACACGCACAAAGAGACGCACAGAGACACACACACAGAGACACACACACACAGAGACACACAGTGACACACAAAGACACACAGAGACACACACAGACACAGACACACACAGTCACACACAGACACACACACAGTCACACACATAGACACACACAGAGACACACATAGATAGACACATATAGTGACACACAGAGACACAGATACACACAGACACACACAGAGACACACACAGACATATAGACACACACACACAGTCACACACACAGTGACACACACACACATAGACACACACACACACAGTGACACACACAGACACACAAACAGTTACACACACACAGAGACACACACACAGACACACAAAGAGACACACACAGAGACACACAGAGAGATACACTCACACAGAGACACACAGAGAGAGACACACACAGACAGACTCACACAGAGACACACACAGAGACAGACTCACAGAGACACACACAGACACACACACAGAGAAACACACACAGAGAGACACACACACAGACACACAGACAGACACACAGAGAGACACAGAGACACACACACAGACACACACACACAGAGACACACACACAGAGAGACACACACACAGAGAGACACACACAGAGAGACACACAAAGAGACGCACAGAGAGAGACACACAGAGACAGACACACGGACTCACACAGAGACACACGCAGATAGACACACACAGAGACACACACACAGAGAAACACAAAGATAGACACACACAGAGAGACACACAGATAGACACACAAAAATACGCACACAGAGACACACACAGATAGACATACAGAGACACATACAGAGAGACAAACACAGATAGACACACACAGATAGACACACACAGATAGACAGAGGCAAACAGATAGACACACAAAGAGACACACAGAGACAGAGATAGACACACACAGATAGACACACAGAGACACACAGATAGACACACACAGAGACACACACAGATAGACACAGAGAGACACACACAGATAGACACACAGAGAGAGACACACACAGATAGACACACAGAGAGACACACACAGATAGACACAAAGAGAGATACAGAGAGACACACACAGATAGACACACACAGATAGACACACACAGATAGACACACACACAGATAGACACAGAGAGAGACACAGAGACAGACACACACAGACACACAGAGACACACAGAGACACACACAGAGACACACACACAGAGACACAGAGAGACACACACACAGATAGACACACACAGAGAGACACACAAAGACACACACAGACACACAGAGAGAGACAAAGAGACACACAGTAGTGTAATGTATAGTAGTTTAGTGTACAGCGTAGTAGTGTATAGTGTAGTAGTGTATAGTGTAGTAGTGTATAGTGTAGTAGTGTATAGTGTAGTAGTGTATAGTGTAGTAGTGTACAGTGTAGTAGTGTGTAGTGTAGTAGTGTATAGTGTAGTAGTGTATAGTGTAGTAGTGTATAGTGTAGTTTAGTGTACAGCGTAGTAGTGTATAGTGTAGTAGTGTATAGTGTAGTAGTGTATAGTGTAGTAGTGTATAGTGTAGTGTAGTAGTGTATAGTGTAGTAGTGTATAGTGTAGTAGTGTATAGTGTAGTAGTGTATAGTGTAGTAGTGTATAGTGTAGTAGTGTATAGTGTAGTGTATAGTGTAGTAGTGTATAGTGTAGTAGTGTATAGTGTAGTAGTGTATAGTGTAGTAGTGTATAGTGTAGTAGTGTATAGTGTAGTAGTGTATAGTGTAGTAGTGTATAGTGTAGTAGTGTATAGTGTAATAGTGTATAGTGTAATAGTGTATAGTGTAATAGTGTATAGTGTATAGCAGTGTATAGTGTAGTAGTGTATAGTGTAGTAGTGTATAGTGTAGTAGTGTATAGTGTAGTAGTGTATAGTGTAGTAGTGTATAGTGTAGTAGTGTATAGTGTAGTAGTGTATAGTGTAGTAGTGTATAGTGTAGTAGTGTATAGTGTAGTAGTGTATAGTGTAGTAGTGTATAGTGTAGTAGTGTATAATGTAGTGTATAGTGTAGTAGTGTATAGTGTAGTAGTGTACAGTGTAGTGTAGTGTATAGTGTAGTAGTGTATAGTGTAGTAGTGTATAGTGTAGTAGTGTATAGTGTAGTAGTGTATAGTGTAGTAGTGTATAGTGTAGTAGTGTATAGTGTAGTAGTGTATAGTGTAGTAGTGTATAGTGTAGTAGTGTATAGTGTAGTAGTGTATAGTGTAGTAGTGTGTGTGTAGTGTATAGTGTAGTAGTGTATAGTGTAGTAGTGTATAGTGTAGTAGTGTATAGTGTAGTAGTGTATAGTGTAGTAGTGTATAGTGTAGTGTATAGTGTAGTAGTGCAGTAGTGTATAGTGTAGTAGTTTATAGTGTAGTAGTGTATAGTGTAGTAGTGTATAATGTAGTGTATAGTGTAGTGGTGTATAGTGTAGTAGTGTATAGTGTAGTAGTGTATAGTGTAGTAGTGTATAGTGTAGTAGTGTATAGTGTAGTAGTGTATAGTGTAGTAGTGTATAGTGTAGTAGTGTATAGTGTAGTAGTGTATAGTGTAGTAGTGTGTGTGTAGTGTATAGTGTAGTAGTGTATAGTGTAGTAGTGTATAGTGTAGTAGTGTATAGTGTAGTAGTGTATAGTGTAGTGTATAATGTAGTGTAGTAGTGTATAATGTAGTGTAGTAGTGTATACTGTATAGTAGTGTGTAGTGTATAGTGTAGTGTATAGTGTAGTAGTGTATAATGCAGTGTATAGTGTAGTAGTGTATAGTGTAGTAGTGTATAGTGTAGTAGTGTATAGTGTAGTAGTGTATAGTGTAGTAGTGTATAGTGTAGTAGTGTATGGTGTAGTAGTGTATAGTGTAGTAGTGTATAGTGTAGTAGTGTATAGTGTAGTAGTGTATAGTGTAGTAGTGTATAGTGTAGTAGTGTATAGTGTAGTAGTGTATAGTGTAGTAGTGTATGGTGTAGTAGTGTATAGTGTAGTAGTGTATAGTGTAGTAGTGTATAGTGTAGTAGTGTATAGTGTAGTAGTGTATAGTGTAGTAGTGTATAGTGTAGTAGTGTATAGTGTAGTAGTGTGTAGTGTAGTAGTGTATAGTGTAGTGTATAGTATAGTAGTGTATAGTGTAGTAGTGTATAGTGTAGTAGTGTATAGTGTAGTGTAGTAGTGTATAGTGTAGTAGTGTGTAGTATAGTAGTGTATAGTGTAGTAGTGTATAGTGTAGTAGTGTATAGTGTAGTAGTGTATAGTGTAGTAGTGTATAGTGTAGTAGTGTATAGTGTAGTAGTGTATAGTGTAGTGTATAATGTAGTGTATAGTGTAGTAGTGTATAGTGTAGTAGTGTATAGTGTAGTAGTGTATAGTGTAGTAGTGTATAGTGTAACAGTGTATAGTGTAGTAGTGTAAAGTGTAGTAGTGTATAGTGTAGTAGTGTATAGTGTAGTAGTGTATAGTGTAGTAGTGTATAGTGTAGTAGTGTATAGTGTAGTAGTGTATAGTGTAGTAGTGTATAGTGTCTAGTGTAGTAGTATAGAGTGTAGTGTATAGTGTAGTAGTGTATAGTGTAGTAGTGTATAATGTAGTGTATAGTGTAGTAGTGTATAGTGTAGTAATGTATAGTGCAGTAGTGTATAGTGTAGTAGTGTATAGTGTAGTAGTGTATAGTGTAGTAGTGTATAGTGTAGTAGTGTATAGTGTAGTAGTGTATAGTGTAGTAGTGTATAGTGTAGTAGTGTATAGTGTAGTAGTGTATAGTGTAGTAGTGTATAGTGTAGTAGTGTATAGTGTAGTAGTGTATAGTGTAGTAGTGTATAGTGTAGCAGTGTATAGCGTAGTAGTGTATAGTGTAGTAGTGTATAGTGTAGTAGTGTATAATGTAGTGTATAGTGTAGTAGTGTATAGTGTAGTAGTATATAGTGTAGTAGTGTATAGTGTAGTAGTGTATAGTGTAGTGTATAGTGTAGTAGTGTATAGTGTAGTAGTGTATAGTGTAGTAATGTATAATGTAGTGTATAGTGTAGTAGTGTATAGTGTAGTAGTGTGTAGTGTAGTAGTGTATAGTGTAGTAGTGTATAATGTAGTAGTGTATAGTGTAGTAGTGTATAGTGTAGTGTATAGTGTAGTAGTATATAGTGTAGTAGTGTAGTAGTGTATAGTGTAGTAGTGTATAGTGTAGTGTATAATGTAGTGTATAGTGTAGTAGTGTATAGTGTAGTAGTGTATAGTGTAGTAATGTATAATGTAGTGTATAGTGTAGTAGTGTATAGTGTAGTAGTGTATAGTGTAGTAGTGTATAGTGTAGTAGTGTATAGTGTAGTAGTGTATAGTGTAGAGTGTAGTAGTGTATAATAGTGTATAGTGTAGTAGTGTATAGTGTAGTAGTGTATAGTGTAGTAGTGTATAGTGTAGTAGTGTATAGTGTAGAGTGTAGTAGTGTATAATAGTGTGTAGTGTAGTAGTGTATAGTGTAGTAGTGTATAATAGTGTATAGTGTAGTAGTGTATAGTGTAGTAGTGTATAGTGTAGTAGTGTATAGTGTAGTAGTATATAGTGTGTAGTAGTGTATAGTGTAGTAGTGTATAGTGTAGTAGTGTATAGTGTAGTAGTGTATAGTAGTGTATAGTGTAGTAGTGTATAGTGTAGTAGTGTATAGTGTAGTAGTGTATAGTGTAGTAGTGTATAGTGTAGTAGTGTATAGTGTAGTAGTGTATAGTGTAGTAGTGTATAGTGTAGTAGTGTATAGTGTAGTAGTGTATAGTGTAGTAGTGTATAGTGTAGTAGTGTGTAGTGTAGTAGTGTGTAGTGTAGTAGTGTATAGTGTAGTAGTGTATAGTGTAGTAGTGTATAATGTAGTGTATAGTGTAGTAGTGTATAGTGTAGTAGTGTATAGTGTAGTAGTGTATAGTGTAGTAGTGTATAATGCAGTGTATAGTGTAGTAGTGTATAGTGTAGTAGTGTATAGTGTAGTAGTGTATAGTGTAGTAGTGTATAGTGTAGTAGTGTATAATGTAGTGTATAGTGTAGTAGTGTATAGTGTAGTAGTGTATAGTGTAGTAGTGTATAGTGTAGTAGTGTATAGTGCAGTAGTGTATAGTGTAGTAGTGTATAGTGTAGTAGTGTATAGTGTAGTAGTGTATAGTGTAGTAGTGTATAGTGTAGTAGTGTATAGTGTAGTAGTGTATAGTGTAGTAGTGTATAGTGTAGTGTAGCTAGCCACCCGTCCCCTGTTGATGACATCAAGGAGACGCCCAGGGGTTCCACACAAAAGGTGACATCCCCTCTCCAGCTGCTGCAGCTGATGGACAACACTCGTGCCTCCGTACACCACCACGGAGCGAACAACCGTCCTGCAGACAGACACGCACACACACAGATAGACACAGTTACACACAGAGAGAGAGACACAGAGACACACAGACATAGACACACACACAGATAGACACAGTTACACACACACACACACACAGAGACATAGACACACACACACAAAGAGACACACACAGACACACAAACATAGACACACACAGAGACACACACACATATACACACACACAGAGAGACACACAGACACACACACATAGACACACACAGAGACACACACAGAGAGACAGTTACCCACACACACACACAGAGAGACACACACAGATAGACACACACACATAGACACAGAGACACACACAGAGAAAGAGACACACAGAGAGACACACACAGATAGACACAGTTACACACACACAGACACACACACAGAGAGACATAGACACACACACACACAGAGACACACACAGACACACACATAGAGAGATACACACAGATACACACAGTTACACACACACACAGAGAGACACACACTGATAGACACAGTTACACACACACACAGACACACACATAGACACACACACAGAGAGACACACAGATAGACCCACACAGTTACACACACACAGAGAGACACACACAGATAGACACACACACAGAGACACACACACAGATAGACAGTTACACACACACACACAGAGACACACACAGAGAGAGAGACACACAGAGAGACACACACAGATAGACACAGTTACACACACACAGACACACACACAGAGAGACATAGACACACACACACACAGAGACACACAGACACACACATAGAGAGATACACACAGATAGACACAGTTACACACACACACAGAGAGACACACACTGATAGACACAGTTACACACACACACACACATAGACACACACACAGAGAGACACACAGATAGACCCACACAGCTACACACACACAGAGAGACACACACAGATAGACACAGTTACACACAGACACACACACATAGACATACACACACAGAGACACACACACAGATAGACCCACACAGTTACACACACACACACAGAAACACACACAGATAGACACGGTTACACACACACACACACAGAGACACACACAGACACACACACAGATAGACACACACACACACAGATAGACACACAGACACACAGACACACACAGACACACACAGATGGACACACACAGTGACACACACAGCGCCCTGTGTGTGTGTCACTGTGTGTGTGTGTGTCACTGTGTGTCACTGTGTGTGTCACTGTGTGTGTCACTGTGTGTGTCACTGTGTGTGTGTCACTGTGTGTGTGTCACTGTGTGTGTCACTGTGTGTGTGTCATTGTGTGTGTCTCACTGTGTGTGTGTGTCACTGTGTGTGTGTGTCACTGTGTGTGTGTCACTGTGTGTCACTGTGTGTGTCACTGTGTGTGTGTCACTGTGTGTGTGTCACTGTGTGTGTGTCACTGTGTGTGTCACTGTGTGTGTGTGTCACTGTGTGTGTGTCACTGTGTGTGTCACTGTGTGTGTGTCACTGTGTGTGTCACTGTGTGTGTGTGTCACTGTGTGTGTGTCACTGTGTGTATCACTGTGTGTGTGTGTCACTGTGTGTGTCACTGTGTGTGTGTGTGTGTCACTGTGTGTGTGTCACTGTGTGTGTGTCTGTGTGTGTGTCACTGTGTGTGTGTGTCACTGTGTGTGTGTGTCACTGTGTGTGTGTGTCACTGTGTGTGTCACTGTGTGTGTGTCACTGTGTGTGTGTCACTGTGTGTGTCACTGTGTGTGTGTGTCACTGTGTGTGTCACTGTGTGTGTGTGTGTCACTGTGTGTGTCACTGTGTGTGTGTCACTGTGTGTGTGTCACTGTGTGTGTGTCACTGTGTCACTGTGTGTGTCACTGTGTCACTGTGTGTGTGTCACTGTGTGTGTGTCTGTGTGTGTGTCACTGTGTGTGTCACTGTGTGTGTGTGTCACTGTGTGTGTGTGTCACTGTGTGTGTGTCACTGTGTGTGTCACTGTGTGTGTCACTGTGTGTTACCCGTGAGAGAACTTGAGTGCTTGTAGGTAGATCTGTGTGATGAGTTCACGAGTAGGAGCTACACACAGGGCGCTGGGAGTCTGTAACCAGGGCTCCAGATTTGGCTGTAAGCCACGACGGACCAGCAATGTGAGCACGGGCAGGAGGAAGGCTGCCTGCAGACACACACAGTGACACACACAGTGACACACACACAGACACACACACAGTGACACACACACAGTGACACACACACAGTGACACACACACACAGTGACACACACAGTGACACACAGTGACACACACAGTGACACAGTGACACACACACAGTGACACACACACAGTGACACACACACACAGTGACACACACACAGTGACACACACACAGTGACACACACACAGTGACACACACACAGTGACACACACACACAGTGACACACACACACAGTGACAGTTACACATAGTTACACACACACAGTGACACAGTTACACACACATACAGTTACACACAGTGACACACACACAGTTACACACACGTAGTTACACATAGTTACACACAGTGACACACACACAGTTACACACACACGTAGTTACACATAGTTACACACACACAGTGACAGTTACACATAAACACAGTTACACGCATAGTCACACACACAGACACACACAGTGACACAGTTACACACGTAGTTACACAGTGACACACAGTCACACACAGTTACACACACACACAGAGTGACACAGTTACACATAGACACAGTTACACACACATACAGTTACACACACACATAGTTACACATACGTAGTTACACACAGTTACACACACAGTGACACAGTTACACACATACATACAGTTACACACACAGACAGTGACACACAGTTACACACACACAGTTACACAGATACACACAGTGACACAGTTACACACACACACAGTTACACACAGTTACACAGTGACACAGTTACACATAGTTACACACACACAGTGACACAGTTACACACAGTGACACACACAGTTACACACGTAGTTACACACACACAATGACAGTTACAGACAGTTACACACAGTTACACAGTGACACAGTGACACAGTTACACATAGACACAGTTACACGCATATTTACACACACAGATACACACAGTGACACACACATACAGTTACACACAGTTACACACGTAGTTACACACATAGTTACACAGATACACACATAGTTACACACAGTTACACACACACAGTGACACAGTTACACAGACACAGTTACACACACAGTGACACACAGTTACACACACAGTTACACACGTAGTTACACACACATAGTTACACACACATAGTTACACACACAGTTACACACACACACAGTAACACTGTTACACACATACATAGTTACACACATACAGTGACATACACACACAGTTACACACACGTAGTTACACAGTTACACACACAGTTACACATAGTTACACACACACACAGTGACACAGTTACACACACATACAGTTAAACACACACACAGTTACACACACGTAGTTACACACAGTTACACACACACACACAGTTACAGTGACACACAGTTACACACGTAGTTACACATAGTTACACACACACACACAGTGACACACGTACATAGTTACACAGTTACACACACAGTTACACACAGTTACACACGGTGACACACACACAGTTACACAGTTACACACAGTTACACACACACGTAGTTACACATAGTTACACACACACAGTGACAGTTACACATAGACACAGTTACACGCATAGTTACACACACAGACACACACAGTGACAGTTACACACGTAGTTACACACACATACAGTGACACACAGTCACACAGTTACACACACACAGTGACAAAGTTACACACATACATAGTTACACAGTTACACACACAGTTACACACACACAGTGGCACAGTTACACATCGACAGTTACACACACATACAGTTACACACACACATAGTTACACATACGTAGATAC